CACAACTGTTAAGATCTCGAGACCGTAATCAAGGGGCCTTAACCAAGAGCCGTCCTCAACCGCATGGCACTCGCTACGAACTTTCTAAGGTGTCGCCGACGACGAAACGTAGGCAGTAGCAGTGGATGCTTCCTCCACGAGTCCAAGGCGATAATGGATAGGCCTTCCTTAGGAATGTCATTTGTGGGTCCGAGACCATCGGCAATGGTACCCCAGGCTACAAACAGGATGAAACTTTTTAATATGTGCCGCCGGTTGGCGGTGGTGCTGCCGCTGATGAATTGGACCGTTTGCTACATCACCTCTGGTCTATCAGTCTTCAGTTTGAGGTGCCTAGCAATACTATTGATATTACTTTTACAATCGTATTTTATTGTTATCTAATAATTAATAAAGGTAGTGATCAAATGGATAAGGTGACACGGATAAAGTTGCGAAGGATCAGAAACCATATTCCACTCATATTTGACACAAACATTCTAACAAACAAAGCCTCGAGTGCATGCTTGTGTCTTTTCATTTCACATATTTCTGCTTCTAGCCTTTTTTATCATTCTTCATCTAACATACCTTTCATACATTGGCAGGTGTACGCCTATTCGGAGCTCTGCGACGGCCCCTGGGAATGGACAGGTGACCAGACCATGCAGCCTCTGTGCTGCAACAAGGATCATGAGTACCATCCTTGCCCCGAGTAGGGAGCGGGCGAGAGGCAAGCCAGCTCCACATGGCCGACGTTCTAGTGCTATCTGAAGACTGCTTTAATATCTATCTTTTTGAATAAACTAAGAAGCATTAGAATGTTCATTCATTTCCAAAGCCCCTCGTACTATGTTCGAAACAAATGAATGCCGATCCTTTACAGATATTGGAAATGACAACGATAGCTACATCCAACACAAATTCTGACAAGGTCTTTCTCAAATATTAGAAGTGCACTATTAGCTAGTACTGATAGGATGAATTCAAATATGTGCACATACACACATATACATGCATGCATATATCTGTAGATGTATATATGTTTATGTATGTATGTATATATGTATGTGTATATATATCCATATATGTCTGTGTAATATGTATACTTTATAAAAAACACGCACACAACATACACACATATATAGAAATACGTGTATATATATATATGTATATATATATATACATACATAAACAAATATACACAAACACGTGCACGAATATTAGTACATATATGTGTATATAAATATACATATGTTTGTGTGTGCATATATAAATAAATACACACATAAATGTGTATATATGTATATATATATATATGTGCGTGTGTGTGTGTGTGTTCATCTATATGTATAATTGTCAATGTGTGTGTAGGTATATTTACACATACATCTATATATACATATTTAGGTATATATCTATATATATGTCTATATATATACTACTGTGTGCGCGTTAACTCATCATAGCCAGTGTAAAAATAATGTTTTGGATTATTTTCATATCGCCTTTCCTATTCCTGTCATTTTACTGCTTTTATTCCGGGTGCAAAATGAGCGAGCAATTACGAGAAACAGCTGATGCGGGAAAGCAGATAACAAGCTTACAAAATTAAAAACAAAACAAAACAATCATGATTGGTCACTGTTTCCCAGACTCTGTGAAAAAGAAAGAATTAAAAGTCCTATCTTTTAGATGGTATAAATATAGGCATTCAGGTGTGATCTGCATCAGTTCCAAAGGAATTGTTTCAAGGTAAGAACTGGCGGTCGAAAGATTTCGCAATAAGTATGCTTGCTTGGCAGTCAATTTACTGTATCAATACAGTTGCCGGAAAGATTTATGTGCTAGCATACGAAAACCACAATTGTATCATTATTATACTTTCGATAAATATGTTATATAGCAATATTTACTCTTACCGCTAGGGAATATTTTTCAGACATGAGGGCTATAGCCGGACTGAAATAAACGTTTTAAAAGATAACGTTAACCAGACTGTTCTTCCCTGCAGGTGCAAGATGTTCCGTTTGCTTGTTCTCGCTTTGGTTGTGGCCGTGTGAGTATTTAGTTGACATTATACACTCTATTATATATATACATTCATATATAAATGGATAGATAGAGGATATACTATTAGGATTTATATAAATGCATATATATATGTGTGTGTGTGTGTATGTGTATTGATTCTAAACTCTCTGATTATCTGCGCAATTCCTTCGTCCATCCATGTCTGTTGCACAGTGCAACGGCACAAGAGCCGGCTAACTGCAGATGCGGCGCCTTCATCACTCTTGACTCCGTCGAGAAGATGCTTTACGAGCTCCCTGCCATCGACATGGGCGGGTCAGTTATTCGCTAATCTATCGTTTTCAGAATGAATACATTGTGCATGAAACTGATATACTTAGCACTTTCTCACTTTTCTGCCTTCCGTTCTTCGACTTTGTTCCTCACTGCTCACCATTCAGAACTCGATCGCAAACAACACCTACTAACCAACGCCTCTCCTGCAGCTGTGACCAGCATGTCAAATGCCAAAACCGCTGCTTCAAGGAGTTCGAGGAGCTGTCTGGAGGAGGAGACCTGACCTACATTACCTCCGATGGTGTGACGCCCGTCGGACAGATCTTGTGCACGGCATCCGCAAAGCCAGTCAGTAACGAATATGTGAGTGATTCAGACTGGTGCTTGTTTCTCCCTATGATCAGATACAACATTATCTT